TCTGTTCTTAACCTGAAACTGTTCTTAACCTGAGGTACCACTTTAGCTAATGGGGCCTCCCGCCGCCGCTGCACGATTTCTGTTCTCATCCTGAAGCAAAGTTCTTAATCCTGTAACCTGAAGCATCTGTAACCCGAGGTACCACTGTACAAATGACAACAGCAAGTCTTTGACTTGCATTTATTATGCAGCACAATGGCCACAAACTAGTATGTCATGCACCGAAGAGAGGCAAGAGCAGAACTTGCTTGGTTCCTTTTGCTGACCTCAGATGTTCATGTGAAAATGGCCACTGGATCTAAAAGCCACATACCGTGGTACCTCGGGTTACAGACGCTTCAGGTTACAGACTCCGCTAACCCAGAAATAGTACCTCGGGTTAAGAACTTTGCTTCAGGATGAGAACAGAAATCGTGCAGCGGCAGTGGGAGGCCCCATTAGCTAAAGTGGTGCTTCAGGTTAAGAACAGTTTCAGGTTAAGAACAGACCTCCAGAACGAATTAAGTTCTTAACCTGAGGTACCACTATACTTTGAGAGAAGAAGGTGTGTCTTCAGCCTTGACCTGCAGCTGCCTGCTTTTCTAGGAATCTCAAAGGTTGAAGGAGAAGCACCTGTGGCCAGATACTCCTCCTCCCCTGGCAATTTGGTTCAGGACATGGGAGGAGGAGGAACGGACATACCTTGGGGATAGGCATAGGTAGTAGATGTATGTTGCAGCATGCAGCAAAGCAAGAGGCTGAAATTGGAGCAGGGAGGTGACAGCAGAGAGGGAAGGAACACTGCACACAATTCACTGTGACTTTAGGTTGGGGTGGGGAGAAGTTTCAAATGTCTGCTGATTAATTGCTTTTAAGAACAAAGACTGTGAAGTCGGTGCAACTTAATTGTCTAAGGAACACTGCTTGCCAATATACTGTTTCTTCACTCCTTATATTCTTGCTTGCATCTTGTTCAAATGTCGCAGCCTTAGAAGTGTATTTTCCTCTTTTTTTAAGATCTGTGATAAACACAAAACCTCGTCAACCCACATGCATTTGTGCAATGAGAGTTCAGGGAGAGGATCTCAACAAGATTCCACAGCAAAGCAAACAGACACATCCAAGTACCAGCTAACATTAGAGACACTGGTGAAATCTGAGTGATTCCACTCAGCGGCAGAGCAAGCCGATCGGGCGCCTGGGGCAGTGCGCGTGCCCTGCGCCCAGGGGTGGGGCCAGTTGCCCGCAGGGTGGGGCAAGCCGGGGCAGGACTGCCTGCCTCCTCCCCCTCAGCTGAGGGGGAGGCGGCAGGCAGACCATTTGGGGCAGTGCAGAGCCTGCGGATGCCCAAGCCACCGCATCAATCTCAGGAGAGACGTGTGGCTTAGGCACGCTACAGGCCCCGCAGTGAGTGCCACCCAGCATTTTGTCACCCCCCTCAGTGGTGACACCTGGGGCGGCCCGCCCCCACCGCACTCCCCTTCCTCCGCCCCTGATTCCACTCTGGCTCAAGGCACAGTCAAGCCCGACGATTACCACTTTCCATCAATGCCTATGTGGCATAAGGGCAGGTAGATGGGCCCCTCCCTGAAGCAACCCGCAGACGCAGGTTAATTCTGTGTCCAGGGCAGCTGTCTACCAGCTCCATCTGGTACGCAGGCTGAGACCCTACCTGCCCGTGGACTGTCTCGCCAGAGTGGTGCATACTCTAGTTATCTCCTGCTTGGACTACTGCAATGCGCTCTACGTGGGGCTACCTTTGAAGGTGACCCGGAAACTGCAATTAATCCAGAATGTGGCAGCTAGACTGGTGACTGGGAGTGGCCACTGGGATCACATAACATCAGTCCTGAGAGATCTCCATTGGCTCCCAGTACGTTTCCAAGCACAATTCAAAGTGTTGGTGCTGAACTTTAAAGCCCTAAACGGCCTCGGCCCAGTATACCTGAAGGAGCGTCTCCACCCCCATCTTTCAGCCCGGACACTGAGATCCAGTGCCGAGGGCCTTCTGGCGGTTCCCTCATTGCGAGAAGTGAGGTTATAGGGAACCAGACAGAGGGCCTTCTCGGTAACGGTGCCCGCCCTGTGGAACGCCCTCGCTACAGATGTGAAGGAATTAAGCAGCTATCTTCTTTTTAAAAGACATCTGAAGGCAGCCCAGTTTAGGGAAGTTTTTAATATTTAATGCTGTATTGTTTTTAACACTTGATTGGAAGCCGCCCAGAGTGGCTGGGGAAACTCAGTCAGATGGGCGGGGTATAAATAATAAATTATTATTATTATTATTATTATTATTATTATTATTATTATTACCCAGCCAGATGGGTGGGATATTATTATTATTATTATTATTCCCCATTTGATCAGTGTTCAAGTGACTGGATCCAAGAGGCACCAGGGGCAACTTCCATCCTTTCAACCTGGCTAGCAATGGGAGGTAGGTTGGCAGTGCCCCTCCACCTGCCAGTGGCTCTGACATCTAAGCTACCTGACAGCTGTGATCAGCCAAGTTAGAGACTATCCTCCAAGAGGGGAAGGGTGTGGAGTAAGTGAAGGAAAGAGTGGCTCAACCGTTGCTCCATTGCCTTGAGCATTTCGGTTGCCCTTTTCTCGTTGCCCAATATTATACTGGTATCGTGTAAATCTTTGGTGTCACTGTACAGTTCTGGTTGCCTCACCTCACAAAGGAGGTAAGATATTGCAAGTAAATGCCACAAGCAGTGTACAGTTCTTTTGGGTGGGGCTCCTAGCCTATGAGGTCCCAGATTGCTGTCCCGTTGTTCAGCTCCGGCAGTGCCTCTGTTAATGTGACCAAAAATCTAGGTGACCATAGAACAGTTATGGACCACAGGTATGAAATTCACGGCATGTAATGCCCTAAGAGAAAATTTAATGAAAATGATTTATAGGTGGTACATGACACCAGTCAAGCTTGCAAAAATTTACCATTTGCCCGACAATAAATGTTGGAACTGTAATGAGACTGAAGGTACATTCTTTCACCTTTGGTGGACATGCCCAAGGATTAAGACATTCTGGGAGATGATTCATAACGAAATGAAAAAGGTATTTAAATATACCTTACTGAAGAAACTAGAGGCCTTTCTCCTGGGCATGGTTGGCCAATTGGTGTCAAAGTAGGATAGAACTTTTTTTATGTATGCAACAATAGCAGCAAGAATACTCATCGCGAAGTATTGGAAGACACAAGATTTACCCACCCGGGAAGAATGGCAGATGAAGTTGATGGACTATATGGAATTGGCGGAAATGACTGGCAGAATCCGAGACCAGGGAGAAGAGTCGGTGGAAGAACAGAAATACTGTAAAATTAATGAATGTTAGAAAAATGTTGGAATGAAGTTATATGGCTTTAGTAGAAATGTTATAAGGAATTAAGTATAAATAGATTAATAGAGTATTAAAGGGAAAAATAAGGTTAGAATGTGTTAAGATAATTATAGGATATAAAGCAGAGGAAGATGGAAAGGAATTGCTGAAACAATTAACAGAAGTGGAATACAAAAAGGGAGGTGTGAGGAGGTCATTGAAATAAGTGAATGAAAGATAAGATATTGAAATTGTTTGATGTGTTTTAAACTTTTTGTTTTGTTTTGTTAGTTTAATGTGCTAGTGTTATGTAGTGTTTTTGTATTGTATTGTTTATTTTTTTGTAGTGTTTAAATTGTTGGAAAAGTAATAAATATTATTTTCAAAAATCTAGGTGACCATTGTTTGTTTCCTAAAGTTATTTTAACCCTTTAATGAGAGATTGCTGTCTCATATAAATTGGATTGAAGTATAAGGTTGTCCTTGTCCAGTATAAATGTTTGTTTATAACACTGACAAACAGTCCAACCAATCAGAAATGTGGCACACAATGAAATATGCATTTGCCATGTGTAGGAGTGCAAATATCCAGAGATGTAGTGATCAGGTGGGATTGCTATGAGGGATTATAACAAATATAGAGTAAGCCATCTGTGTCAGCAATGAAAGCATTGCGTTGACTGGGTTTAAACTATTTTGATATGATTCTTGATCAATCTACACCTCTGCATCCCTGTTCCATTCCTCTTTCTTAACAAGTCACGTACCCTGCCAGTTGTCACCAGGCAGGCATCCTGGGTCATCAAAGACAGTGGGCAGCTTCTTTGAAGTAGCCTTTCTGATATGTTAATCTTAGGATGTTAATCTTAGTGCCAGTAACCAGATCTCACATAAAGGTGATAATGATCGCTGTCCTCCTGGCCACCATTATTATACACACCCTTCCCAGAGTCTTGCTGGTTGAAGCCTCTGTGTGTATTCTTATTAATCAGAGTTCAATCCTTCCTTTACTTTGGGAATGCCTCAAGTGGTGCCCCATGTGAGGCCAACTTAAAAAAAGAAACCGTGTGAGGCAAAGCTTAAAAAAAAACCTCAGCATGTGAAGCAAAGCTAAAAGGAAACCTCAGCAAAGGGAAACCCCCAGGATAGGACTCCCCTCGGAGCTAGCAATCTGATATCCCTCGGTCGCGGTGGATCATCTCCTGCAAAATGATTCCCGGACTTAGGACCTAATTCGCTTGGAACAAGCCCCAAAGACGTGCGTCTATTACCCTTCAGGTGAGAGCATGGGAAGCAAGCTTTCACATGGGCAGGAAAAGCAGCATAGGAATAATTTGTTATTTTTGCTAGCTCAGGCAGGGCATGATAAGCATTTAGCACCCCTAGTGGAAAAATTGTTGTTAGAGACTGCTAGACTGTGCCCCTGGTTTCCAGAGGGGGGTACTTATGACATTAAGAAATGGAATGAGCTGGGAGATGCACTCCGTAGACATCCTGAGGCATCTGTACAAGTCTTGCACACCTGGCATTTGTGTAGAGACGCAGTTGGAAAGCTCTCTAACCCTTTGCTCCAGTCACCAGTTGTCTCTGTGAATGCTCCCACATTGTTGCAACCCCTAGCTGCCTTTAAAAATACTATAATATTGTTCCCCCCATCTCAGCCCCTAGATTTCCAGCCTCTCTCTGAGGTCATGCCAAAGGTAATTCCATTGGCACATTCCTTTGCCAAAAATTTGCCTGGGTCGAATGTAAATTCCATGCCACCTTCGGTGGACCAATGCCCACAAGGGGCTCAGACCACAGTGCAAAAATTGGTTATTCAAAATATGGCAGAAGGAAGCAGTGAAGAAAAAATAGCTGACACCTTACCATTATTAGCAGTTTGTCCTGTTGTTCAGAATGCACAGGGACAGAGAGCCTGTGAATCATTGCCCTTCGCAGTTTTTAACAAATTGAAGCGAAGTGTGACAGAAAATGGCTTGCATGGCATTCTTGATGGGCTAAGAGGAGCCAATACTTTAATTCCAAACCTTGAGGCCTCTGAAGTTTCAATGAAACAATTGACTTATGAAAATGAAAATGCTGATTGCAAGACTGTTCTTAAAGCAAGTTATCAGAAGCAGGAAACAGAGATTGCTCAAATGATTAAGCCTTGCCAGAATATTGACACTGAGATTCACAAATCTACCCTCCGAGCAGCAGCTTTGTCTCCTTCAGTTCATCCTACTAAAGACAGGCAATGCCACAATGGATGGCCTTCCAGCCTGAGTTTAAATGGGAGAACAAAGACTGTTGTGCCAGCTGATTGTCAGTCTTTTACTGAAGCTAAATTAGCAGAGCCAGCTATTGCTTCTAACACAGTTGCTTTTAACACACAGTCTCCTGTGACAAATCTGCGCCATGCTGCTAAGGGCAGTGCTGGTTTGAATCTAATGGCAGCAGAACTTGCTACTTTTCAGTTCCAGTTCCCTATAGAGGTTTATAAAATTAAGACATAGCATACAGGTCTGATTCCACCTCAGACAGTGAGACTCATTCTTCATCGCTTGTTGCAGACTGTTTCTTCTCCTTTCCTCCCTGAACTTAAAATTCCTAATGAATTTACTTTACAGCAGTTGCAGAGTTTTGGAGTCATTCATAGGCGTGATTTTCCTTAATACAAAGTGAAATATACTCAGAGTCGCAACGTGATTTCATGCTCTTTATTCAGCTCATAGTGGTGAGGAGGAATGAGTGAATGTCCCCTCAAAGTATCTGCTTTATATACATTATTTACACAATGGGCTGCACATGATTGGCTAATTCCGGAATTCTACTGTAAGCCAATCAGGTTGTGGATTCACTTCTATCTGGAGCATGATTGGGTGGTTCCTGCCAACCAATCATACTGCTGCATTGTTCTAGGACCAATCAGACTGCTGCATTCTGAATCCTATTGTTCTAGGACCAATCAGACTGCTGCATTTTGGATCCTATTGTTCTAGGACCAATCAGACTGCTGCAGTTTGGATCCTATTCAACTCAGTACATAACACCCCTCCCCTCTAAGTTCCAGTCCTGCCCGGGAGGTCGCATTCATAGTCCTCAAGGTACGCCGGCGGCCTACGTGTGTGTTGCGGCCTGGGGTGTTCCCTGGTCCGGGGTTCAGGTTCTGGCTCATGTTCCAAGGATACCGGCTGTGATGGGGCTGTTTGGTCTGGCGCAACCAGCTTGCTCAGTCATGGTTCTGGTTCTGGTGTCCTTTCGGCCTCGCGGGTCCTCTCTGTATTTACTGATTCTGCCTCTCCTGCTGGCCCCTCCTGCTCTATGGGCCTCACTGCCCCACTGTTCCCTTGGGACCCCTCTGACCTGTCCTCCTCCTGGTTTTCTCCCGGGAATCGTCGCCGTATCTGGTCGCAGTGGCGACGCCAGCATTGCCCCCCATCCGTTAGCACCTCATACGACACGGGGCCAGTGACCCTGGTGACTGTGGCAGGTACCCATGCTGGGCCTGCCCCAAAATTCTTTGCGTACACTGGGTCCTGGGCCTCGAAAGTCCGGGGGTTCCTGCCTTCCCCCACCACCACCTCATCCTGAGCTCTATCGGGGTGAAGGCGGTCCAATCTGATTGCAAGGCGCCGACCCATTAGTAGTTCAGTGGGGCTCCGGCCAATCGTTGAGCTGGGGGTGCTGTGCTGTGCTAGAAGAAATGTGGCAAGGCGGTACTCCCAATCCCCTTGCGTCATGCAGCGAAGGGTGTCCTTGGTGCTCCGCACCATGCGTTCTGCTTGGCCGTTGGTGGCAGGGTGGAATGGCACCGAACGGATGTGGCGGATTGCGTTCTGCGCTGTGAAGGTTTGGAATTCTCCTGATGTAAATGCCGTCCCGTTGTCTGAGACGAGAGTGTCAGGGAGCCCGTGGGTTGCAAACAGCCTGCGTAGTACCCGGATGGCTGCGGACGTAGAAGTGGACGGTACCAGTGCGACTTTCAGACATTTGGTGTAGGAGTCCACCACTATGAAGAATGTTTTCCCCTGAAAGGGGCCAGCGAAGTCCACATGCAGGCGTGACCATGGTGCTCGGGCAGACTCCCAGGACTGGACTGGGGCCCTTGGGGGATCTGGGCGGGATTCTTGGCAGGCCTGGCAGTGTTTGACCCAGGCCTCTATCTCTCCGTCAATCCCCGGCCACCACACATAACTCCTGGCGAGGGCCTTCATTCTTACTACCCCTGGGTGTGTCTTGTGTAGGGCTGTGAGGACCCTTTTGCGGAGGGGCTGGGGAACAACGACCCTGCTTCCCCATAACAGGCACCCCTTGTGGGCTGACAGTTCATGTTTGTGGGTTGTGTAGCCGGCAAATTCTGGCCCGGGGCTGCTGCTGCGCCATCCCCTCCACACCTAGTCCAGGACCCGGGAGATGACCCTATCTTTCTTGGAATGGTGTGCAACTTCTTGGGCCTGCATGGGGCGGTCAGGAAGCAGCTCCAGGCTCATAACCTCTTCTGCAGGTGCTGGGTCGGGGCCTGTTTCCAGTAGTGGTAGCCTGCTGAGGGCGTCCGCATGGCCCATCGCTTTCCCAGGGCAGTGAATCAGTGCATACTGGTAGCTGGCGAGGAAAATTGACCACCTGAGGACGCGAGGAGACAGCACTTGGGGGGTCTGCTTTTCAGGGGCAAACAAGCCAAGCAACAGCTTGTGGTCAGTCACCACGGTGAAGGGCCACCCGTACAAGAAATCATGGAATTTTTTTACTCCCTTCACGATTGCCAGACCCTCCTTGTCAATTTGCGAGTAGTTCCGCTCGGTTGCGTTGAGTGTCTGGGAAAAGTATGCTACCGGTACCTCTCTTCCATCCGGGAGTTGGTGTCCCAGGACAGCGCCGATGCCATAGGGCGAGGCGTCGCATGCTAGCACCACCGGCAGCCTCTCGTCGAAGTGTGCCAAGACCAAGTTTGAGACAAGCAAGTCCTTGACTGCCTGGAATGCGGCCTCCTGGCACTGGCCCCACACCCAAGGGGCCGCTTGTCCAGGAGCCTGTGTAGGGGCTCCGCTACTGCCGCCTTGTGGGGAAGGAAGGAATGGTAAAAGTTCAATAGTCCCAAGAAGACCTGAAGTTCAGTCTTGCTCTTGGGCGCTGGGGCATCACAAATGGCTCGTACCTTGTCCCCAGTCGGGTGGACCCCTTCTGCGTCCACCATAAATCCCAGAAAGTCCACTTGAGGCACTCCTAGTAGACATTTTTCCTGCTTAACCTTGAGACCCGCCGTCTGGAAACGGTGCAGAACGGTGCGGAAGCGGTCCTCAAACTCCTCTGGTGTGGGCCCGGCAATCAACACATCATCGAAGAAGGGGGTGACGCCAGGAATCCCTTTAAGGAGGGAGTCCATTAGATTCTCGAATATGCCTGGTGCCACACTGACACCGAATTGCAGCCGCTTTACCCTGAATGCTCCTCTGTGCATCACAATCATCTGTGCCTCTGCTGTGGCCTCATCTACTGGCAGCTGTTGATATGCTTGGGCCAAGTCCAGCTTGCCAAATTTTTTTGACCCAGCCAGGGTGGCAAGGACATGGCTGACCACTGGCACTGGGTATGCATGGGCCGTGAGGGCCTTGTTTATGGTACATTTGTAGTCTGCGCAGATGTGGACCGAACCATTAGGCTTGACGGGTGTGATGATTGGGGTTTCCCAGGGGGCATTAGGCACCGGCTCCAGCACTCCTTGCTCCACGAGCCGGTCCTATTCCACATCTATACGGGGTTTCAGGGCGAACGGGACCTGACGGGCCTTGAGCCTGACCGGTCGTACTGCGGAGTCAAGCTGTAGAGCAATGGGGGCCCCCGTATACTGTCCCAATTTCCCATCGAAAACCCCCGGAAATTCCTTGCATATGGCGTCCACGTCCACTTGTAAGCTAGTGTGGTTCACCCCGGTGACGGCTAGCCCCAGTGGTCCAAACCATGCCAATCCCAGTAAGCTAATGTAGGGGCCCTTGACCACAAGCAAGTCCAGTTGCCGTGTCCGCCCTCGGTATTGCACCCTGAAGGTCCCCACCCCCATTGTGGGGACCTTACGTTTCTGGAAGTCCCGGAGGGTGAATGGGGCCGGCCTGAGTTTGGGACCCCCAGTAGGACACAGTTTCCTTAAGGTCCTTGCCGAGTTGAACCCGTGTCAAGCTCCATGCGGCATGGGCCCCCCTCCATCTGTACCTCTACATAAATTTTCTCTACGTTGGGGTGGGGCAACTGGTATACCTGGAAGTCCGTGAGCTCCGTCGAGTTGCCTTGGTGCGTTGGGCCCTGGGACCTGGGGCTCTTGGATTGGTCCTCTGATGCCTGGCATCGGGTTGGCCGAGCTCGACACACCCAGGCGATGTGTCCCGATTTTCTGCACTGCCTGCACTCTGCGTTGCGGAAACGGCAGGTCCTCCTCTCGTGACTTTCCCCGCAGCTTGCGCAGTTCCCTCCTTCTCGTCGAGGCAGCTGTGGTCTGTGCGCTGCTTGGGTGCGCTGCTGTACTCGGTGCACCTCCTCCATGTCAGATCCTGAGTCGTCGGTGAGGTCTTCATGGTGGACCCTCGGTTGGGATGGCAGGCTCGGCCGTGCCTCTTGTGTCGACCTCTCGGCAGCGTCTGTTGCCAGGGCCTCCTCCAGAGCGACCTGGAACGTTAGGTCCTTCTTAGCGTAGAGGCGTCGTTGCAGCTTCTCATCCTTCAGGCAACCGACGAGGCGGTCACAAAGCATGTTCTCCACCTCTGAGAAGTTGCAGAACCGGGCGGCTTGGAGGAGAGAGGTCACAAACCCAGTTATGGTTTCCCCAGGGGCTTGCCGCTTTGCGTAGAAGGCATTTCGACGAGCCACCACTGAGGGCTGCGGCGAAAAGTGCACCTTCAGCTGTTCCATTATTGTTTTGTATGGAACAGTAGCGACGTCTTCAGGCACAAGGAGAGCCCGGGCAATTTCAAATGTCTCCTCTCCGCAGACGCTGAAGAATATCGCCCTCTTCTTGGCATCTTCTTCGTCGGTGACCCCTTTGGCTTCTAGGAGGAAGGTGAAACGGGAGGCGTACGCTTCCCAGTCTCCAGATGCTGGGTTGAACGGCGAGAAGCTGCTGTCGGTTGCCATTCTGAGTTCCTTGTGTCCCGGAGCTGAAGTCTGGATACACGGTGCGAGGCAGCGGTGCAGCAGGTGGCGGTGCTGCTGTGCTGTATGTGGCAGTCAGCTCAGCGGGATCCCATCCTCGTCGCCAGTGAAATATACTCAGAGTCGCAAAGTGATTTCATGCTCTTTATTCAGCTCATAGTGGTGAGGAGAAATGAATGAATGTCCCCTCAAAGTATCTGCTTTATATACATTATTTACACAATGGGCTGCACATGATTGGCTAATTCCGGAATTCTACTGTAAGCCAATCAGGTTGTGGATTCACTTCTATCTGGAGCATGATTGGGTGGTTCCTGCCAACCAATCATACTGCTGCATTGTTCTAGGACCAATCAGACTGCTGCATTCTGAA